GCAGGTGAAATGCTTTAAGTAAAATTTTAAAGTTGAGATAATTTTCACTTTTTTTTTTTTAAAGATTTATCTATTTATTTATACAAGCACTGGGTACAGTCAGAAGCACGGGAGGGTGAGAGAATTCACCAGAGCCAGAGTGTGGAGCAGAGCAGGCAGAAGGACCGAAGTACACTGCTGAGGGGAGCAGCGGGCGGCAGGAGAGGTCTGCGCGCCATGTGGGACCCTCACCAGTGGCCGGAGATTGAACCAGCGCTGCAAAGGGTGCGGGCAGCTTCGCAGCCCAGCGCTCAACCGCTGTGTCACCAAGAAGGCCCAATTTTCACATTTAAAAAATATATATATATTTATTTATGCATGCAAGAGCTGGGGTACAGGCCAGAGGTGAGTGGGGTGAGAGGATTCACCAGAGACAGAGTGGGAAGCAGAACAGGTGAATTGACTGAAATACACTGCTGAGGGGAGCAACAAGCAAGACGGGAGAGGTCTGCCGAGCCATGTGGTTTAGGACCCTGGCGAGGGATCGAATGTGGCTGCAGTGGCTGCAGATAGCTTCATAGTGCTGAGACTCAACCCCTTGCAACACCACGAAGGCCCAATTTTCACATCTTTTTAAAGAAAAAGGTGATATAATTGCTTTCTTGAGGCTTCAATCCTTAGAGATTCAATATGGGTCCATAATCAAATATGAAACACACAAGTGCTTCCTGTGTGTCAAGTATTTTTCTGAAGTTTTACACATATGAAATGACATCCCCCAGGAAAATACTGAGGCTAATATGATTATTTGCTCTTGCACTTTTTTAAAAATAATAAACTATTTCTAAAGTAGTTTTAGATTCACAAGAAAATTAAGAAATTAAAACAGGGCCTCCCCGGTGGCGCAGCGGTTGAGCCCTGGGTTGCGAAGCTGCCCGCGGCCTCTGCGGTGCCGGTTCGATCCCCAGCTGCTCCCCGGCCACCGAAAGAGGGTCCCACATGGCTCGCAGACCTCTCCTGCCGCCCGCTGCTCCCCTCAGCAGTGTACTTCGGTCCTTCTGCCTGCTCTGCTCCCTGCTCTGGCTCTGGTGAAATCTCTCACCCTCCCGCGCTTCTGACTGTACCCAGTGCATGCATAAACAAAACAAACAAACAAATAAATAAAACATGCCTCTATTAAAAAAAAAAAAAGAAATTAAAACAATTTCCCATACAGCTTCTGTACCCCACATTGGTTACAATTTGTATACATCATTGTTACCATCCAAAGTTCAGAGTTTTTTGTTAGAGCTTGCTCTTTCTTTAAAAAAAGATTTTTTTTTTTTTAATTTGTGCATACAAGAACTGGGGTGTAGACCAGAGGTGAATGAGAGAATTCACTAGAGACAAAGTGGGAATCAGAACAGGCAGATTTATTGAAATACACTGCTAAGGGGACAAGCAGGTGAGACAGGAGAGGTCTGCTGCCCCATATGTGGGTAGCTCCCTGGTCAGGATCTAACTCAGGCCTTAGTGATGACAACACTAGGCCACCAGGGAGGCCCTTGAGCTTAGTCTTTTTTTTTTTTTTTTTTTTGTGGGACCCTCACCGGTGGCTGGGGAACAAACCGACGCTGCAGAGGCTCAGAGGCTGCGGGCAGCCTCGCAGCCCAGAGCTCAACCGCTCAACCGCTGCACCACCAGGGGAGGCCCCCTAGAGCTTAATCTTGATGAATCATCCAATGGGCTTTGACAGATACATAATGGCATATATTAAACATTGTAGTATTGTATAGAATAGTTTCATTAACCCAAAAATTCTCTGTACACAACCTATTCACCCCTCCCTATCCTCAACCTCTGGTTCACTATTTTACTATCTCCAGAGTTTTGCTTTTTCCAAAATGTCATATTATCATTTGGTTAGAATCAAATAGCAGGCAATATTTTTCAGATTCTTTCATTCAGTAATATGTATTTAAGTTTCCTCCATCATGTGCTATCAAACTATCGCCAGCCACTGCAGCACAAGTTTGATGCCCGCCTGGCCAAGTAGCTGACCCACATGGTGCAGCAGACCTCTCCTCTCTTCCAGGCTATTCCCCTTAGCAGTGTTTTTCAGTAGATCTGCCTGTTCTGCTCCCCACTCTGTCTCTGGTGAACCCTCTCACTCCCCACACCTCTGGCCAGTATACCAGTTCTTGTATGCATAAATAAATAAATCTTTAAAAACAAACAAACAAATCTCACAAAGGTGTGGAGGACTCTCCTCCATAGCTGGGTCCCTTTGAATATTTTTTTTTTTAAAGATTTATTTATTTATTTATTTATACAAGCACTGGGTACAGTCAGAAGCTCAGGAGAGTGAGAGAGTTCACCAGAGCCAGAGCGGTGAACAGAGCAGGCAGACCAACGAAATGCACTGCTGAGGGGAGCAGTGGGCATGGCACGAGAGGTCTGTGCGTCATGTGGGACCCTCGCTGGCGGCCGGGGATCGAACTGGCACTGCAGAGGCTGCGGGCAGCTTTGCAACCCAGCGCTCAACCACCATGCCACTAGGGGAGGCCCCCTTTGAATATTTTTGGTCTCAGATTTGTCCACACTAAGCTTCCAGAAGTTCATTAAATATAATTTAGGTTTTCTTACCCTGGCACTGGATCCTGCTCATGGATTGCTGCTACAGTAATTTTAGCAGAACTTGTAATTATTTGTACCTATCTGTTTCTCTAATTTTCTGGGCAGTGGTTTGTACCTTGATTTTATTTCTCTGACAGGTTTAAGAAGAGTTGTTGATTTTTAATTTGTTCAGCTTTTTCTTGCTGTTAGGATAGAGTGGTGAATTCTAAATTCTTACATGCTGCACTAGAAATTATCTATTCTTGTCTTTCTACATGTAAGGAAATCAAGGCACAAAGGTTTTTAGAACTTTTATCAAGGCCTCCCAGCCAGTATGTGACAAAACCAGGATTTGAATGTAGGTGTTCTGGTTCAATCCTCTGTGCTCTTAACCCCTACATAACTGAAGAAAACAAGCTGGTAAGGATGGTAGAGAAAGGAGGAATGTGTTCTCACATCATAAAATCTTTCATGTCTACTAAGATTACATTTTCAAAAAAATTCTAAAACAATTAAAGGAAATGTGATAGAGGGGTTGACTTGGAAATAGTGATTACCAAAACTTGAAGTAGATACAATAAATAAAAATTTTAGAGTAAAAGCAAAAAACAGTCATTGCTAAACCCACCATTTTTAAGCATTACATTTCAGTCCTTATCCATTTTTTATGAATATTATACATGGCTATCATGTATGCATCTTTTTCACTTAACTGTGATCACAAATATTTCTCCATGTTTCTAGATCTTCTTCACAAATTACATTTAAAAGTTATATAATATCCTGTTTGGTGATGTACTATAATTTACTACAGCATTGTTTTACTGTTTGACATTTAATAATTAATAAATATTTTTACATTGACAAATAATGTTCCACAATTGTTTTTCTCCCATTGATTGAATTCATTCAGAATAACCCTATGTGCTTATTGGATCAGTGGGTATGGATAGACATATAACTATTGCTAATTTTTTGTTGTATTCATTTCTAGAAGGTTATGTCAATTTTCTGGACTTTCAGCTTTATAAAATTATATCAAATGTAATCATATCAAAATATTATATATTTGGGGCCTCCCTGGTGGCGCAGCGGTTGAGCGCTGGGTTGCGAAGCTGCCTGCGGCCTCTGCAGCACCGGTTTGATCCCCGGCTGCTCCCCTGCCACCAGAGGAGAGTCCCACATGGCGCGCAGACCTCTCCTGCCGCCCGCGGCTCCCCTCAGCAGTGTACTTCGGTCCTTCTGCCTGCTCTGCTCCCCGCTCTGGCTCTGGTGAATTCTCTCACCCTCCCGTGCTTCTGACTGTACCCAGTGCTTGTATAAATAAAACAAACAAACAAACTAATTAAATAAATAAATAAATAAAACATGCCTCTAAAAAAAAAATATTGTATATATGTATATATGTATGTTTTGAAAACCTCTTTAGATACAAATGCAAAGTCAATATCAGGAGACCATAAAAAAGGACCCCTTCCATGAACTGATATATGACTACTTTTCAGATTTCAGTTTATGTTACATGAAGTCTTGCATATAGGAAACATCCCATAAATATTTATTGAATGGTTGGTTGATGGATAGATGGGCAAACATATAAATAGAAGATTTCTTTTAAGTAATACACAGAAAGTTAGTGGCAAAGTTGAGGTGATATCCTGATTTATAAATAAAATGGTGTTTTTTTCACCTAACATAATTGCAGTATATTTGAATCAGGCAACATTTATTATATAGTTGGTATGTGCAAAGCACAATTCTGGAAGCTGGAGGCTCTACTATCAACAAAGCATAGTTCCATCCATCAGTGATTTCAATTAGATTGAGAAACTCACATTTCTTGATTAAATTATCATTTGTAAAATGACTGTACTGACCTCAGAAATCTCTGCCAATTGCTAGATCCTGTGATCTTCTGAATCTCTAGATTTCTCACTTTTAGGTACCAAAATTCTAGAGTAAGCGTATTTCAAAGTGCTACCTAAAGGAACTGATGATTCAGGATAATGATAAGGAATTTTCTTTTTCCTCCTCATTCATTTATTCATTCAGCATTTGGCATTCACTGAGCTCATATAATACACCAGATATTATTAACTACTAGGAATAAACAAAGGAATAAGATAAGCCCTCTTCTCTTAAGAAGTCTACAGTTTCAAATGGGAAGGTTTTCATTTTCTAAAGAGGAATAGTTGGGCATACAACAATGCTTGCTACAACAGTATCACACACAGTGTATATGTGTATATGAATGTGATGTGCTTACTCTGCTATTAAATGGAGTGGTCTCCACTTTTAAGGTAGAGGAGGGAATCAGGTAATATTCCAACTTAGCCTCTCAGAAGTTAATAGAAAAAATTATTGAATCTTATATCATGGAAAAATATACTTGCCAATATCAAGATTGAAAATGCATGTGGACTTACCACTTCTCTTCTTCTACTTGTACTCCTACAGACTGGAACTTACTCGGTGCTTTATTTTCCCCTGTCTTGTCAGGTTCTTCAGCATCATCCACCTGAGGAAATAATCAGATAAGTAGAGATAATCCATTTCAGTCATCTTGCTTGAAAAACAACTTGCATATTTTATCAGAAACATCTATAGTATTACCAGAATGTTTTGTTATTTGTTTTGTTATTTGTAATCTGTGTATTTGGTTCTCACCAAATACATCATCACTACTCTGCTGATCTAAGTAAAATGTAATTTTGTTCATTCTCAAGGTCTATGATTCTGCTCTAGATTTGTAAGTAGTATTTACGATGAGCACTATATTAGAAGTAGAACTACATGAGGGCCTTGCTGGTAGCCTAGTGGTTAAGTCCCAGCACTATCGCTGCTGTAGTTCAACCCCTAGCCAGGGAACTAACCCACATGGCTCAGCAGACCTCTCCTGTCTTGCCACTTCAGCAGTGTATGTCAGTAGATTCAATAGTCTGTTCTGTTCTCCATTCTGTCTCTGGTGAATCCTCTCACCCCCCACACCTCTGGCCTACACCCCAATTCTTCTACGCAAAAAAAAAAAAAAAAACCTTTTAAAAAAAAAAAGCAGGGCCTCCCCGGTGGTGCAGCAGTTGAGCGCTGGGTTTCGAAGCTGCCCGCAGCCTCTGCAGCGCCTGTTCGATCACTGGCCGGCGGTGAGGGTCCCACATGGTGCGCAGACCTCTCCTGCTGTGCCCGCTGCTCCCTTCAGCAGTGTATTTCGTCGGTCCGCCTGTTCTGTTCCTCACTCTGACTCTGGTGAATTCTCTCACCCTCCCACGCTTCTGAATGTACCCAGTGCTTGTATAATAAATAAATAATTATTTTAAAATAAATAAATAAAATTAAAAAAAAAAGCAACACTACATGATAATGTGTTCTTAGAAGTTTGACTTTGCAAATATCAAAATCAAAAGAAGGAAGAAAGTTCATTTAAATATACTTAGAATTGTTGATACTGGGAGATTTATGTGTCAATGTTATTAAGATAAACTATAGAATATCTTCATTTTCCCCTTTAAACTAATACATTGCTTAGAATATCACTTCATACTTCTATATGTGTATATTCCAGCTTATATAGAAAATGTGGTTTCTGACTCTATTTGGAATATCTGACATTTCACCTTTAAATATACATTTAATTTGGTTTCTTATGTATGCTTTTGATCATATTAATATTTAAAATAATTTCTGGATTTCACTATGTACTGTGTAATTTTAATATCTACTGTCTCAATTCTTGCTGATTTGTATTTTCTCTCCCTCTCTGTTAGACTTGTTCACTTATTTGGCCTTTTAAAAGAACCAATTTTGGTTTAACTTATCAATTCTGCTTTAGTTCATATTACTATTGTTCTGTAGTGTTTTCTAATGCATCAGTAGCAACTCATTCCTATGAATCAACTTAGTGTTCATTTTTTGTTCTTTTTCCTCATTTTTTTCATTTATATATTTCTTGCTTAATTATGAAATAACATAAAGCTGTGAATTCTTCTAAAATCATAGCAATGACCATGGCTCATGGTGATATTTTCTAGGATTCTCATTGTTATTGTCATATAATTCATAATAATTATCTCAAATTTCCTCTTTAATACAAGTGGTTTCTTAGAAGATATTTAATGTTTTCAAAAGGTTTAATGTTTTCTGTTTAATGTTTTCTTTTAATGTTTTCTGTTAATTTCTAGTTTTAACGTATGATGATTAAAAACCATGGTTGTAATATCCCTTTTTTTTTGAATCCACTAAAGTGATCTTTGTAGGTCCCTTAGTGTTGACTTAAGTCCCCCTAAAAAATCTTTTTCCAACACTTCAAGGACATTGAAATGAAATTTACAAAGTTGGAGTACTATTTAAGAAAAAAAATAGTTCATTATACTTGTTAAAGAATGATAAGCAGGGCTTCCCTGGTGGCACAAAGGGTTAAGCATCAGCACTATGAAGCAATCAGCAACTACTGCAACATAAGTTTGATCCCCGGCTGAGGAGATGACCCACATGGTGCAGCAGACCTCTCCTGTCTCACCCACTGCTCCCATCAGCAGTGTATTTCAGTCAATCCTCCTGTTCTGCTTCCCACTCTGTCTGTGGCCCACCTCTGGACTGTACCCCAGCTCTTGTATGCATAAATAAATAAATATTTTTTAAAAAAAAAGAATGATAAGCAGACTTTGTTCAGAGGGACTATCATCATATGTATAGGGACCATTGTAATGGGATTTTGTAGTAGGAGAGAAATTGGGCTCAACTCCAAAGAAAACATGAAAAAATGGGAATTTGTAGCTGAGGAACAGAGTTGGGGTGTCAAAGGATGGTAAATTACCAAGAGGAAACATTGAGGGGAAAGCAGATTCTGGTTAAACTGTCCTAGCAGGATTCTTGCTGAAGGCAGGCCAGGGTGATCAGACAAGGCCTGGGGAAAGTGGATGATGAGCAACCCATCAGATATTGAAGGTGATCAGATATCATAGGCACAGGATTCTAGATAAACAGACTTAGCAGGATTCTTGCTAAAATTAGGCAATGCAGAATGACATGGTAGTACAAAGTTAAGGCCTATTTGGAATGAGAATTCAGATAATGATTAAAGTTTGGACAAAGAGATATTCTGGGGTCTCCCCTGGTGGCACAGCGGTTGAGCACTGGGCTGTGAAGCTGCCCGCAGCCTCTGCAGTGCCTTTCTATCCCCAACCACAGCGAGGGTCCCACATGGCACTCAGACCTCTCCTGCTGCGCCTGCTGCTCCCCTCAGCAGTGTACTTCGGTCCTTCTGCCTGTTCTGCTCCCCACTCTGGCTCTGGTGAATCCTCTCACCCTCCCGCGCTTCTGACTGTACCCTGTGCTTGTATAAATAAATAAATCTTTAAAAAAAAGTTTTTTTAAAAAAAGAGATATTCTGTCAATTCAATCTCCAGTTTCCTTTATCTTCTTAAGTCAATTGACTACGAATCAGAGTTAATGTGACCTTATTTCTCAAAGCCTCCTGTCAAATCAAAGTAACAATTCATTTGGTTTGTACTGTTCTAAAATAGTTCATTCAACATGGCAAGATGAGTTTTGTTATTTGCAGTTGGACTAATCTCTTCACTCAGGATATGAAGAGGTTAATATATCTCTGCACACTTGGACTGGAATTAAAGGGAATAAATAAGTAAATCCCAAGAGTGAGGTCTCAATAACTTAATTTTCTTTTATTTTTTAATTCAAAGAATGAGAAAGGAATCACATTATACATAATGTGAAGATTAAACTTAAAGCTCCTCTAGGTTGCTTTGCAACATGAGCTAATAATAATAGAGGAAAGTCACAATCTATTATCTGGAGGAGACTGGGGTAGTGTCTGACACTTGTTTGTAATTGAAATTCATCTGTAATTGAAATTACTCTTGAAAGACTAAAAGATGGTGTAGGAAAGGCTGCTGGCAGCCCCCTCTGGGGAGGTGAGTTTGAGGCAGAAAAAAATGGAAATTTCATATTGTGTTCTGCATACTGTTATATTACATGAATCCTTTACAATATTTATTATTTTTAAAAAAGATTTATTCTTATTTATTTAAGCACACAAGAACTGGGGTGTAGGCCAGTGGTGCGGGAGCGGTGGGGGGGGTGGTGAGATGATTCACCAGAGACAGAGCAGGGAGCAGAACAGGCAGATCTACTGAAATACACTGCTGAGGGGAGCAGAGGGTGAGACAGAAGAAGTCTGCTATGCCATGTGGGTTAGCTCCCTGGTGGGGCATGGAATTCTTGCTGGCAATAGCTTGATAGCACTGAGACTTTAACATCTGCCCCATCAGGGAGGCCCTGTATTACTTATTTTAGGGGGAAAACATTACTATTAACATTATCCTGACATTTTAGAAGACATATTGTACAATGTTGCTCTAAGTTCTAAGTATCTAGTTACCTGCTTTCCCTGCCTGCCCAGCTCTAGAATACCAGAAAAGCACCAGATAAAGTAGTTGACTTGACTTTTGGAGCCATGATATTAAAATCAACATTTCAAATATTCTGGAATCATTTAGTGCTGTAAGATGTTTCACTGGAAGAAACACCATGTTGCCTTTTTTTTTTTTAAGATTTTTTTTTTTTTAAAGATTTACTTATTTATGCATACAAGAGATGGCCAGAGGCTCAGGGGTTGAGAGGATTCACCAGAGACAGAGTGGGGAACAGAATAGGCAGACTGACTGAAACACACTGCTGAGGGGAGCAGCAAGTGAGTCCTTCAGGAGAGGTCTGCTGTGCCATGTGGGTAGCAACTTGGCCAGGGATTGAACTTGTGCTGCAGTGGCTGTGGATAGCTTCATAGGCTGCGTCTTAACCCCTTGTGCCACCAGGGAGGCCCCACCATACTGCCTATTCACTCCACTTATCTTAGACTTTTTAATTTGTTTACAGAGGATGAGTTTGTTTGTTTGTTTGACAAAATACATTAAAGTGTATCGTACTGGTGACTTATTGTCTGGCATCTCTAAGCCCATCTTCAACACCCATCTGGTCTGTGGTTTGATGGGGGTAGGGAGGGAACAAGACTGCAAACCACATTTCCCAGATTTCCTTGCTGGTTGACTTTCAGTTATAGTCTAACAAAGGAAGATGGGGGTTGGGGTGGGAGAGGAATTCCTTTTTGTTTCCAGCTACTACTGGTATCCCTCCAGGATATGACCACAGCTGTGACTCCTCTTCACCTCCTTTGACAGTCCAATAGCTTGTGCACTGGCTGCTCCCTCAAAAGTCCCAGTACCAAGTGACCATGCCTGGTCCGAGGAAGACTGTCCTGGGACCTTTCCTCTCAACTCTAAATTCTGTTCACTCCACTTTCCCCATTCCCTCCCCTCCACATAGGAGTGATAACTCCCACCGTATCCCTTTATTGCTCTCTGCCTCCTCATACCTATAGAACCTGTTTTGTGTATCAAACTGTCTCTGTTTGAGAAACAAGCAACACTTGCATTTTCCTGAATAAGATTCTAACTTTTTCCATATGACTGCATGCATGTAAAATTAAAATGCTTAGAATGTCAGCCAAAGTAGAATCTTGCAGCCTTACACTTATGGAGTAGTATCAAATTACCCAATGAAACTTTTTTAAAAAGATGCATGATTGATATTTCTCTTCAGAACCGTGATCTTCAATGGGTACACAAAAAGAGAAAGAACAGAAGCAGGGGCATAAGCATCAGAATGAACGCATTGGACTCTGCTCCAGCCTCATCCATCCACACTCACAGCTTATTTGCATCCAAGTGTTTTCATCTTCTGAGCTTTAGCCATTATATGTAAATTTATCTCTGGACTTTTACCACCCTTATTAGATCCCTATATGACAAATATCAACTCTGTTATATAGTTTCTAGGGCAATCTATTTAATTTTATGAATGACTTTTAATACTTTCAAAGAAATTGCAGGAAATTGAATCTGAAAAAAATAGAGAAAGACCATATAACAGGTGATAAAATTTCAGTGTATTTAGCTAATTGTGATTTTATTTTATTTTATTAATATTTATTTATTTTTGTACAAGAGCTGGGGTATAGGCCAGAGGCGCGGGAGGGTGAGAAGATTGACCAGAGACAGAGCAGGAAGCAGAACAGGCAGGACCAAAAACACTGCTGAGGGGAGCAGCGGGCAAGACAGGAGAGGTTTGCTGTGCCATGTGGGTTTCTCCCTGGCCAGCTGGGAATTGAACCCGCGCTGCAGAAGCTGCAGACAACTTCACAGCACTGTGCTCAAGCCTCTGCACCACCAGGGAGGCCCGCTAATTGTGATTTTAAAGGAGTATAATATTAATAACAACTAAAGCTAATACTTTTGAGCCATTGTTATGCCAATCTATGCTTGAGACTTACACATATAGGTCAGCTTTTACTACAACCTATAAAATACCCTGTAATATAATGACTATGATTATTCCCATTTCCAGATGAGAAAACTGAGGGTTATTATATGATTGACCTAAGTTCACTCACATTGTAAAGCAAATGATTATAATATTAACTGTGCATTATGTATTAAATTGAAATGCCATGGGCCTCCCCTGGTGGTGCAGCGGTTGAGCGCTGGGCTGCGAAGCTGCCCACAGCCTCTGCAGCGCCAGTTCGATCCCTGGCTGCCGGCAAGGGTCCCACATGGCGTGCAGACCTCTCCTGCCGCGCCCACTGCTCCCCTCAGCAGTGTACTTCAGTCCTTCTGCCTATTCTGCTCCCCGCTCTGGCTCTGGTGAATTCTCTCACCCTCCCACACTTCTGACTGTACCCAGTGCTTGCATAAATAAATAAATAAATCTAAAAAAAAACATTGAGGGCCTCCCCGGTGGCGCAGCGGTTGAGCGCTGGGTTGCGAGGCTGCCCACAGCCTCTGCGGTGCCGGTTCGATCCCCGGCTGCTCCCCGGCCACCAGAGGAGGGTCCCACAAGGCGCACAGACCTCTCCTGCCGCCCGCTGCTCCCCTCAGCAGTGTACTTCGGTCCTTCTGCCTGCTCTGCTCCCCCTCTGGCTCTGGTGAATTCTCTCACCCTCCCGCGCTTCTGACTGTACCCAGTGCATGTATAAACAAACAAACAAACAAACAAACAAATAAATAAATAAAAATACATGCCTTTAAAAAAAAAAACAAAACATTGAAATGCCAGGGAAAGCTTGGAAACTCTGATCCTAAAGAAGTAAAGGATGGGAAGGAATTCAAGTACTAGTGTCATATATTTTGGAGGTTAGGATTTAATTTACTGTATAATAGAATTTGATACTATTCTGCATCTTGAATTTTATCTGCTTATTTTTCTCCAGCAACGAAGTCGTATAACATGGTTATATTATACACTAAAGTATAATTTGGGTCACATAGGATATGTGACCTTGGGCAAGTTACTCCACTTCTCTGAGTCCTGATCTATAGGGTAGAAATGATAACACCACCTGTGTTATATAGTTGTTGTAGGAGCTAAAAGAGAACTCTTAGGTACTCAGTACTTCCATATAATTTCTACAGTAGTGAACAATGATTGGAAGAAGAATATGAACAATTTTTGGGAAAATATCCAAATGTTTAAGTTGTGTAGGATGGTCTTTGAAATAAAAAGACCATATTTCTTCCCAAAATTATATGTAGATTTCAGAACAGTTTCATCTTACTGGTTGAAATATGAATGCTTTATTCCAAGTAATTACTTTGAGAGTAACCTGTAAGACCATCCTGAATTGAAATTCTGCACCCTCACAGGAAGCTGAATTTTATAAACTCAATCCTAAGAATAACCTTCTGAGGGATAGATGAGGAAATAGGCTCAAGGAGATTAAGTAGTTTGCCAAGGATAACACTGAGAACCCATCTCTTTTCTTCCCCACTCCTCAATAGCTTTTGGCAGGCAGGATGGGAAAGGTTCTAGGGATAAGGGTGGGTGGGACCTGGGAAGTGGGTGGATACTGGTGTTGGGCCCTTACCTCCCTCCTGCTGTGTCATCTAGTCCCAAGCACCAGAGCTACAACTCCTTTTAAGACACTTGACAACTTGTGCTATAGTAACCTGTGATTATAAAAAAGCATGTGACCCATTGCTACCAGAAAAATTTCAACTGCCCTTTAAAAGTGGACTTTGCAAGATGGACTGTGAAAATGCATCCTCCTTATGAAAATGTGCCCCACAACAGACTTTTATATGCACCTTAGAGTTGGCTCAGTGTGGATAGATTTATTGGACACCACATCAGGAAGTTATTATTCAAAGGCCTATTGATTCAATATTATTCAAAGGCATATTGATACAAAGGCATATTGCAGAATGATACACCACAACAAAAATGGGGGCACGGGCCTCCCTGGTGGCACAGGGGTTAAAGACAAAGCACTATCAAGCGATCACCAGTCACTGCAACATGAGTTCGATCCTCTGCCAGGGAGGTGACCCACATGGTACAGCAGACCTCTCCTGTCTTACACTCCCTGCTCCCCTCAGCAGTGTATTTCAGTAAATCTGCCTGTTCTGCTCCTCACTTTCTGTCTCTGGTGAATCCTCTAACCCTCTCCCCTTGCACCTCTGGCCTACACCCCATGTCTTATATGCATAAATAAATAAATACATAAATATGTAAATAAATAATAAATCTTTTTTTTTAATGGGGGAAAGGATGTCTCTTCTCCATTGATGGGAGATTTCTAGCAAGGTAAGCCAAGCTGAACAGATGTAAAAAACAAGAATCAGTTTGATCTTATCTTTAAGAAGCAAAAACAGTAAACTGAAATGAGAAGCCTACTGAATTATCTACCATTTTTATGAAATGCATGGTTAAATAGCCAACAATTATGCTGAAACTGCTGTACATTCTTTCCCTATGATGCTATGCCACATTATTGCTTTCCACACTATCAATCACTTTGGTCTTACTCTCCCACTCCCACATCTGTGAGAAATGATTCACATTTTTGTTCTCACATGGTTACTCAATAGTGTTGTACGTACTGTAACACACAGCCAGATAACCCTGGTTATTCTTGATGACCACTCCTTTTTTGAGACCCAAATGTGCATTGAGAATTGAGGGCATCTCATGTTTGATTGCGTTCATGTGTTTTGATTCTCCCATGCTTTGAGTCAACATTCAATTCAGAGAACAAACATAAAAGCTGCCAATAAAGTCTATAACACACCTTCATAATTTTTAAAAATCTCATTTAACAATGTAGGGCATATAGACCCAATAATTTGAAAATATGGTTCTCCACAAGCTATTTATCATCCAAAATGGCAGGATAGCAAAGCTTCTGGGAGGAAAAAGTGTTACATTTCTTAGTTGGGGCTTCTATATCAAGGTCAGGAAGGGAGGCTGTTACCTGTATCCCGATAGACAGACATCGGTTTTTCTTAAAGTGATCCTTCTTCCTGTCCTCCGTAGTGACGGTGGCTATGGTGGTCGTGGTGGTGACCGTGGCAGGGTTGTTGCCCATGTGTTGGCTGGCAGGGCCGTGGATCTGGGCATTTGCAGCTTCGATGGCGGCTGTCAGAGCCTTCATACTGTCCAGGCTCTCCGTGGAGTTGCTCAGTCCAGACTGGCTGATAATATCTCCCCGCTGGCCCTGGCCGTCCATGTAGGCATCCTGGGCAGACTCTGTGCTACTCTGGGCTGTGATAGAAATGAAAGGTTTCGTGGTAGTTCTGGGTGGGACTGGAGGTGGTGTCTTCTTATATGTTGTAATGCAAGATGACACTGGAAGACAGTGAAAACAAAGACACTGTGATTTCTGTGTGGGTTTTAATTTCTGATATTGTAAGTGACATCCATTGGAAATCTGGGGACATGAAACGCACAAGGACATTTAACATGAAAACAAGTCCACTGATAGAGTAAGTGACCGCCCTGCTAAGGGGGATGTTTGAAGTTCCTGTGAGGTGACACCCATAAGACTGAGGAGAGAAAGGACTGGAAAACAAGAACCTTTGAGATGGAAGTTTCTGTAATGGAAATTAATATTGAACCAACATAAAATAGACAGGACTCTTCATCTGTTGAAATGTCCCCAGGCAACAGTGCACCACCTTGAGAGAAAATATATCCACATGCACAAGGCCAGGTTGGTTTCTCCCTCCTCGGGAAAGTATTAACATAGCTTACGTTAAATGAAGTAACTTATTTGAGAGGAGTCTGGTGCTTGGAAAAGAAGGAAGTGGGAGGTTATGGCCATGGGTTCTAATCCTAATAAAGTCACAAAGGGCTTGGGGGGAGAATTGGCCTCCCATAGCACAAAGTCACAGCTTCCTCCAGCCTGCACTCACTAATAGAGATCCAGTTTCTCTGTCTTTTTGTCTCTCTGTGTCTCTCTCTCTCTCTCTCTTCCCTCCCTCCCTCTCCTTCCTTTCCTGGATAGATGCTCACTATATAAATTTTTGTTGTCGTTTCTGAGAAGCACACATTGAGAAGGGATATGTAGCAGCAATGTCCTGTGTTGTAAAATAAATACTCACACTAGTCTCTAAATCTGACTCTCTCCCTCCCTCCCTCCCCCTCTCCCCGACCCCTGTTCTGGGTGTGTGTGTGTGTGTGGTCTCTGAGCTTGCTCCCTCAAGTGCTGTTCTTCAGGCAACATGAACATCTCCAGGACCTGGATCTGCAGAGTGAGGCTCCCTGTTAGGACCTAAGTGTTTGAGGCCTCCACCAGGCTGCACTGAAGCTGCCTCCAGCCCCTCTCAGTCATCTGTTTATAACCCTGAGGGTTCTGAAGCTTTACATCCTGGTTTTTGGCTTTCCATTTGCAAAGCATAATATAGAAAAATGCAGATCAAAAGGAATTATTAAGCTTCCAAGTGGGAACTCCCAGCCAGTAAAGAACAATTGCTTTGCAGCTTTCTAAAGAGTTTTGCTTAGTCCCCGAAAAAATGATTCAAACTATTGTTTCCCTCACTTGGCCTACCCACCCGCATGCCTTTTCCACCACAGCTGGCGTCACCCGTTGTCACACCAAATGAAGCAGCCTGACCACAGGATCCCATCTTGCCACCTAGGGTTCCAGCTGCTCTCCAGCTATCTCATTGACTGAACTGCTCACTTCAAAATTTAGGATCTCTCCTGAGGCCACTCCACAGAAACCTCCCATAAGGGACAATGAATAGAAGGATCCTATTATGTCACTACCCAGTGATATAGACTAATTTCTTTTACCATGAAAGAGATAGGGACAGAAATTGTTGGGGGTTATAGGGTTAAAAACTCAGTCTCTTCCAGGCTTTGCAGATGGAGGGGTGGGATGTTTTGAACGGATGGGGGGGGGGAGTTACTATGGGAACCAGGCCAGAGACCTTGGGCCATTAGGGAAACAAAATGATTGTTATTGAAACAGGGCCATAACGCCCACCTGTGGCCATCAAAGGCTGATGTAAATTCTGAAAGGTGCAGGAGATAATCAGAGCCTGACACTTTAGTAGATAGCAGCCAGCACAGACCTGTGTCCTAAATCTAAGAAAGCCCACAAGTTCAGAGTATAAACAGTGCTTCAAACTTCCTCACTCACTGTGCGGACACTCTCAACTCGCCCCCTGTTTCTTTAGCAGGGTAGTCAATAAATCTGCCTTTTCTGCTTTCCATGCTGTATCTGGTGAATTCTTTTACCCTCTGCAGCCTCAGCATCCCTGCATGACCCTTTGATTTCCCTCTCATGACAGAAATGTTTGGCAACTTCCCAGGGATTGCCTGAAAGCTAACGAGAAAAAACATACAGATGTCACGACACAATATCATATGATATGTGCGGGGGTGGAGGATGGGGTGTTAATTTAATGTAAATTACACAAACACCTGGGATGCCTGACAGGGAGAGGCACACCGGGAACGCCTTCCATCTAAGCTTATTGCATGAAACATACATCTTTACATGTGAACAGAGCACAGCAACACGCAGTCCTGAGAGGTCAAGTGACCCTGCAGACTCCCAGCACCCTAGGGTGAGAGCCACCTGCAGTGCCAGCCCCATCTCGGTTTCCCCAGTTAGGCCACAGTGAACTTGGGGGTGAGGAATGTGAACATGTGCTTTGTCTGATATTTCAAAACCTCACTCAATTCAGTTTTGTGCACTGTAATTAAGGCCTCAGAGCAGCAACTGGCTGCTTCCAAAGAAGGTTTGAATAAAGGAAATGCTCAGTGTCAGTCTTGCATCTGAGAGGGTGGAAGGGGAGTGACCATAACTAGGAGGGCATGTGTCCTTCTACCCAAGTTTACTGAAACTTAATCATTGTATGATTTCTCTAAGATAAGTCTTTACAATGTAAACTCATTATTTTGTTGAAAATGGATTCTCAGAACATTTGGCCCACTCATATTCCAAAGAAAATAGATGGCACATTCCCAGCATTAATTGTCTGACCTTTTTGATTATTTGGTGCTTACTGTTAGCTACATCCAGTCTCTTTTTTCAGTATGGACAATCAAAACTGGACAGTGAGTCAAATGCAATCAGGAATCAATCACCACTATTGATTCAGTCTTGCAGGACAGTGACAGCAACATTTTGGTATGACAGGCCACATATGCAATGATGGACCCAATAGGCTATTCCCTATAGCCTGGGTGTGCAGTAGGACACACCATCATTATTAGGTTTGTGTAATTATACTCGATGACACTGCACAATGACAAATCGCCTAATGATACAGTTCTTAAAACATATCCCTAACCCATAATTGTATAATATCAATTCCTTTGCTGTGATATGCACAAATGCCTTCAATGCCTGCCAGGAAGTGATAAGTGTGATATGGAGATGGGGAGGGGGTCACATTATTTCCATTGTAACACCTCCCCCCAACTATAATGTGGTGCCATCTTGTGACTACTGTCAGCTCTGCTTCCACATCACCAGGGATAACTGGTACCACGATTGATTCAGTCTTGCAGGACAGTGGCAGCAACGCTAGCAATCCATGAGAGTTAAAGTGCAAGGGGAGAACACGGAGGCCATAGCTTCCCCAGCAGGCTGGAGAATGCCCAAAGGAGGCCAGAATGGGACACTGCCCCACTTTGAATTAGGGATCCAATAGAAGATGGAGCCTTCGCCTAGATGTAATATCTGAAGCTTTTTTCATGAGTTTATTGCAGGGTGGAACTTGACACAATTATACTGGTGTACATGCAAGGAAGCCTCACCAGGAGTCATCAAATATGAATTTAAGAGGAACTCAAATCTTTAAGATTGCTTTTTTTTTTTTTTTAATAGAGGCATGCTTATTTATTTATTTGTTTGTTTGTTTGTTTGTTTTTGTTTATACATGCACTGGGTACAGTCAGAAGCACGGGAGGGTGAGAGAATTCACCAGAGCCAGAGCGGGGAGCAGAGCAGGCAGAAGGACCGAAGTACACTGCTGAGGGGAGCAGCGGGCAGCAGGAGAGGTCTGCTCGCCATGTGGGACCCTCCTCCGGTGGCCGGGGAGCAGCCGGGGGATCGAACCAGTGCCGCAGACGCTGCGGCAGCTTCGCCAGCTTCGCAACCCAGCGCTCAACCGCTGCGCCACCGGGGAGGCCCTAAGATTGCTTTTTGAAGAAGAGAAGAAATACAATGTTCAATTCACAATTCTCCTCCTTTATGGTCTTTTTCTTTGGCATTGGAAGCTGCTCCAGATAGCCGTGCAACTAAATCTCCCAAATTTCCCCAGCATCATTCTTTCCCAGATTTGTAGGCTAAGCCCTAAGCCCTTTCTTCTATCTTAAGGTTTTTTTTTTTTTAAATTCTATTCTCATAATTCATCACTATGAAAGATTTAGAATGCATTCAGGTCCAACTGCCAGGAAGCCTGTGAAAGAGTAAGACTCAACAAAGGTAAAGCAGAAATTAATAAATCTTGTCTGGTGAAGAGAGAAAGAGAAAATGGGAGGCTTATATTATAGTAAGTGAAATACTTCATTTGTTGAAAAATGTTGATTTTAAAATGTAAAGGCTCCTTTTATTCAAGTGGAACTTGAAAAGAAGCTATATTTTAATCATTACTTTTGCTTTCTTTGGCCTGATGTTTATTTGTTCATTTCAAATAAAGTGATTTTGTTCTCCTTCTCTGGGTACTGATGATTTACTACCATGGCTCAAAGTTGGCTGAAAGATTCCCATCCATTTATTAGAAGATTCAGCAGGAATAACACTGGATTTCAGCGATACCACTTTCATTCTGATGATTCTGCAGAGCACAGATAGACTGGAGGTTGGTTTTCATATCTGAGTTCAGAAGGTATAGGTTTCCCCAGCTATCTGCACATAGAACATTCCTATTTGGTTTGGTATGTTACTTTCTGGATCTGGGAATGCTAAAAAAAAAAAATTTCCATATAAACTGATTGTGATAGTATTTCCATTTCCCAAGAATAACCTACCAGATCACAACAAATGGGAATGTTCCATGTTCAGATAGTGGGAGAAACCTGTTTTTAAAAAGTCACAATGAGAACAAATTCCTATCCTATCAACTACTAATTGCCTATTCAATATTGTTCCTATTTGTACAGAAAGATAATGCTAGTGTTGTAAGTCACAGGAAGGACTGTGCCAGATTTGTTTTCCATGGTAGTGAAGGTTTTCTGTAGAAAACTAGACTCTAACTTCTCTGGTTATTCTTTGTGATCAAGAGAACCCATAAGCAGATGTGGGATCAAATCCACTTCTAAATCTTAGTGAATTCTCTCTAAGTGAATACTCACATACTAAAAAGTTATGTTGAGGAATTATTTAGCAGTTCCTGATTACTGAGTATTAGAAATTCTTTGAGAACAAGTCCATAAGGAACTACAAATAAAAATACTAAATGAGGGCCTCCCTGGTGGCACAGGTGGTTAAGCGCAGCCTCTGCTACATGGGTTGGAGCCCGGCCATCTGGCGAGATACCCACATGGCACAGCAGACCTCTCCTGTCTCGCCCACTGCTCCCCTCAGCAGTGTATTTCAGTCAGTCTGCCTGTTCTGTTCCCCGCTCTGTCTCTGGTGAATCCTCTCACCCTCCTGCACATCTGGCCTGTACCCTGGTTCTTGTATAAATAAACAAATCTTTAGAAAAAAAAAACAACAACACTAAATGACAACAAAAGAATTTCCAAGTATACATATACATAGTTGCACAGTAGTCAAGCAACATCTTTTTGATATAGATATTATCCTAAATTGTTCTAAGTCACAAAGCAGGCTGTGATTTGATTATGACCTGCATCAGATGATCTGTCCTTACTAAACTGAAGACCATCAGGGTGAAGAGTGGGCTACCTCAACCCACTGCGTAGTTTCTGTTGAGGGTAAAGTTCTCTTGATGTAGGTGATTTGGTCCAGATGAACAAGGTTTTAACAAGTTCTCAAAAGGAAGTGACTTATTCAAAACATTAAAGAAATCTAGTGAGGTTAACTATGGGTGCTGGAACTGGCTCTCATCAGCTTACTAGAGTCAGTTGTACACATCTCTCCCTAAATCTGTATGGTATTTTCATTGCAGCTAGAAATTGACTTTTTTCCCCCAAAGATTTACTTATTTATGCATACAAGAACTGGGTACAGGCCAGAGCTGTGGGGGCTGGGGTAAGAGGATTCACCAGAGACAGAGTGGGGAACAGAACAGGCACATTGACTGAAATACACTGCTGAGGGTAACAGTGGGCAAAACAGGAGACGTCTGCTGCACCATGTGGGTAGCTCCCTGGCAGGCCAGGGATTGAACTCATGCCACAGAGGCTGCGGATAGCTTCACAGTGCTGTGCTTAACCCCTTGTGCCCCCAGGGAGGCTCTTGAAATTGACCTGGATATGAATGTTTACACCATGGATATTGGCAAGTGCTGTATATCAGTAGGGACTTGATGTCAAGCATCCACAGCACACCTGTGTACATAGTTGGTCCACAGATAGGTGTTGATTCACAAACATACCATGAAAATTGAGAGTAAGCTTTTAGAAATTTTTATAGCAATTCTACAGCATGTTTTGTCAGTTGAATACAATAAAAAGAAAACTGTTGACTTGTGTTTTGTATGCCACTGCTTTTTAGTTTCTCTTTTGAAAGTAATTCGTTTTTACTATTGCATTTTGCCAAAGTATTGATCTGCAACAAATTGGAGGTCAAACAAGCTTTTATCACCAGAGACCATTAAAGAAGCACTGATAGCAAACATTTGTAAATCCAGTGGACTGGACAGAGTTAGTACAAGTGAGGTGAAGAACATATTAGAAAGAAAAACTACAGACTGTTTTAGAAAGCAAACCGATGAGAAGGGCCTCCCTTGTGGCACAAGGGGTTAAGCACCACGCTATAAAGCAATTTGCAGCCTCTGCAGCTTGAGTTCAATCCCTGACCGGCCAGGGAGCAACTCACATGGCTTAGCAGACCTCTCCTGTCTGGCCCGCTGCTCCCCTCAGCAGTGTACTTTGGTCATTCTGCCTGTTCTGTTCCCCACTCTGTATCTGGTGAATTCTCTCACCCCCCCACACCTCTGGCCTGTACCCCAGTTCTTGTATGCATAAATAAATAAATCTTTAAAAAAATAAACAACAGTTTAGTTTGGGACATAAAGAAACTGCTACACAAATATAGGAGGTGCAGTGACCTTGTGGTTTTAATGTCAGTTAAGTGGCTTATTTCTAAGAAGATGAGTGTGAGCAGAACTGTGAGTTCTAGAACAAGGAAGTATTGAAGCTTAGAGTAGAAAATTTAGGATGGAAGCTTCACAAGGCCAGAAACTTGAGGTGTAGGTAGAAATGATTAATGAGTCATTAAACTGGCTATGGAAGATCTGCAGACAAAGATAGAAACCAGAGATGAGGATATGGAGTATTGTCTATGGAGACTTGTCATTATAAAGAAACACCAGTACTTACAGAAAACCCAGCCAGAACTTGAAAGTGATAGATTCCACAATAGATAAAATTCCACAAAAGAGTGAATCCCTCCAGAGAACACTATATAAGGATTCTCTTGGCTCTGTCCAATTGCACTTCTTATCCTAACACTGCCTGTCTGCATCGATGCAGGTGTCTCTTTTTCTTAATAAGCCCACCTTTTAAAATGCAGCCTTTGCCTGTTTGTGTCTATGCCAAAGTCCTTTTTCCTTAATAAACTCACTGTGAGCCCCTGAATGTGAAACTCTGCTGAAATCTTTCTCAGAGGAAGGCCAAGCATCCCATTCACTGAACCCCAGCAAAAGGACGCTTATGCTGCATTTCATTCCAGGTCCCTTCTTTTAGGAGAAATTGCAGGGTTCTCTGAGGAGAGAGGAAATAATATCTTGAGGGGTCAAGCTGCAGCTGATCTGGGAAGTAACTACATTGCATCAATATCTTAAAGGGGCCAGAAGTAAGTGACAAGATTTCTTTTAAACTGGAGTTTCTGTGGCTTCTGAATATGAATGAAAGCTAGAAAATCATTCGAGATGTGGAGTCGCATTGAGAATGATGGGACTGAAGTAACTGAAGAAGAAAGCTAAGAGAAGAGGCCAGGGAGACAGAAACAAGGCTTGCCAGTTTGTAGCAGTGACCAGTGTTACAGAAACCTAGGAATGCATTTTGGCATGGAACAGGACAAACTCCTGGTAGAGAAGTTCTTTGTGGCTGTTTCCAGTCTAGGAGGCCCAGAGTGCCACACATATAATCACTTGTAGAGGTGGTACTCCCAATGGTGATGTGCTAAGCAGGCCAGACTCCTCACCAAAGGCCAGACCAGTCAGTGGTTTGGTTCAAGTCCTTTACTGGAATAATGCACAAATCCAGGTGACAACAAAGATGAGGAGATGGGGAATTAGTCAGACTCTTGAAGTGCCATTAGATTGACCTAATCACCAGAGAGTGAATCCATACTCAGTAACACACATTGTGCTAGGGATTTAATAGCAAGATTTCTCGGCAGAGGAAGATTTCATTGTCCCTATTTGTTTGATGGTAAAACTGAGGCTCTGAGTAGGTAACTAAGCAGTAAAGTTACTGTACTCAGGGCTCTAAATCCCATCTCTTCATTTACCCAAACCATCTGTATTCATTCCTCCCCATTAAACCTTCCATTAAACACCTCATCTGGTAAAGTGTAATACTTCCCATGAGGAACTGCCAGGAAACCACTCCAAGCTTAGTACTTTCGCCCTGCAGGAACTTGTCAGTGGGTTGGTAAATGAATGAATTTGGAGTGGTCAACAAGGAGTGTACCAGCTGCAACTTTTAAAGTATTGCAAAAAGGAGAAACTCCACAAAACAAAATAGACGTAGAAAAATGGTTCCTTTATTTCAAAATATTTATGCCTTAACCTTTATAGGCCACCCAAAGTGTGGTGGTCAGTGATCCATGCCCTCTAGGCTCCAACAGAGCCCAGGGCTGTTGGGTGGGCCCAGGGACTTCTGGGAGGGGCGCAGGACTTCCCTGAGCCTTCTCTCCCAGTTAGTTTTGGCTCAAAGGACGTGGCTATGAGAATGATTTCCACTAAAGCCATCCTCCACGGAAACCACAAAAGAAGCTAACCTTTTCTCCTTCGAAGTATAAAAAAGCATGCTTGTGTGAGAGTGTAGGGAGAGGCGGGGGAATGTGGACAGAGAGGGAGGGGTGGTGTAATAACTCTTGTAGTCATAAGACTTGCCAGTTGGTAGTTGCTAGTATTCCAGACACTTCCTAATGCCAGACAAATGCCCCAAGCCTCGGCATGTCTAGCTTAGAGATCTATTCAACTGATAGCAGCCACCTCTTGTGGGGTGAGCAGATCTTTCAGAGAGCTGAGCTCGCTGCTAATCAAACACAGCTTTGTTCTCACAAGGAAGAATGGAAAGGTTTGTTTCAGAGTCACACTTTTTTTTTAAGAGGCACCCAAGTTGTTTTAACAAGTTGCTACAAAACTTGGGCTTCCTGAGGTGAGGCTGTTGTGCACAGTGCCTGTACTGTACCAGGTTCCAGAGAGGGAGGGATCAGAAGTTAGTCATTAAAAAAAAAAAAAAAAAAGCTCCAGGCACTTCATGCCTGGAAATGATGTAAGACGCAGCCACTCCTCTCTTAGAACTACAACCAAACAATGCTCTGGCAATCGACGCAGCTGCTCTCCAAATGTCAGCGCCAACCCTGTCAAAAGAGTTTGAAAGCCACCAAGCTGAAGGACTTTGTGCTGTACCTTTCTCATCCACATTTTCCCCAAGCACTCTCAGGAACCTGGCAACAGGTAACGTGGCAACCTTTGCCTTGTAAAGTGGCAAGTGGCAGGATTTCAGAGAACAAATGGATTTTTTTTTTTCCAGGCAGCTGCTTCTTCCTTACCACCCCCACCCCTCAAACTCCCTCCCACCCCAAAAAATGTCTGAGAAAACAAATGTGACTCTGCGGGCAGCCCTGTTCTCCAGTGCCTCCTGGTGGCCACCTCGGAACATACCGATGAGCCTTGAAATCTGCGGTTGTCTCTAAGGTAAGTCAGGCGCCAGAAAGGGGCGGACATCTTTGCTGGATTTGTCTTCCCAAAAAACGTAACAAGCGGAATTCGTGACTTCCACTTGTTATGTTCTTCGTATGTCTTTGCTTTTTAACTTTTATCCTAACAAAAATTTTATCCTAGTTGCAGAGTAAGATCTCTTCGTGGAGGTTGCTGGATTTTTTCTTTTTAAGCTCCAGCTAGGGTAACCTATTTTGTTAGGCTGGTGAGAACGGCTGTGGCCGTTTAGTTAGGTGGATGACAGTGCGGATTAATAGTCGAGAGATTGAGGCTTCCTGCGGGGTGAGACTTGAGTTTTCCATTTTATTCTGAATCTGTACTTTGTAAGCAGAAATCCTTCTCTCAGGCAGAAGCATTATTAATTCCTATTCCTGGCTTCCAGTTTACCCAGTTGCAAAGATTACTTAGGATTTCCAGACTGCAGGCCCAGCTTCGCAGAGCGCCGTGGAGCCCCACCTTAGCTTTTATCTCTGTGTGGGGCAAACACCCACAAAAATGCCAAGGGCAGTACTTCTAACCAGTCTTCTTGCTCTAAGGTGCTGCTTCCGCCTGGCTGTCTCTGATTTGGAGGAATGAGTACGGTTGTGAGCGGCTGTATCTGTTCTTCCTCTTTGGAAGTGTTAACTGAGGTTCAGATCAAAGTAACAGTTTCCTTCAGAAAGTTCCATTAATTAACTAAATTAAAAGGAAGTTACATGATGTTTGGAGGAAAGTCATTTTAGAAGGCCCTGGTCCAGGAGCTAAGGTCTCAACTTCTAACTTAGACTTTTGATGAAGCTTGGCAGTAAGTTAAATAATACTAGAAATTGAGGGTTACCTTATGTAAAACCAGTTGTTGCCTAAAATCAGTCATTTAAAGTAGAAGCTATTTCGCTAGTATTTATTCAGACCATTTAATACTAAAGATTAAAAATCTAGAGTTCTGAGTAAGAATCATTTGACCAGTAGCTAAGGTGAGTCATAGTCATAGAACTGGGCACAAATGTTGAAGTCAGGATGTCGAAAACATTAGGCTTACTAATTTGCAAGGCAGGGTTGTTGCTTCCAGTAGGGAATGTGATCAGGATTTCACGGCTCATTTTCCCAGCCCTTCCAACAGGTGCTATTGAGTCATCCATGTACACAAATGACTGCCTGGCAGTTTCATCTGTTAGGATTAAATTTCCATTTGTCCCATTACTTTATGAAGTGATTTCTGCCACTGAATCAGATATTTCACTTCCTCTAGGACCTAGGGTTTTTGTTTTCCAAAGTTTGTAATGTGTAGGTTTTTCAAAATTTGTCCCAGTCAGGTCTGCAGGTCTTCCTGGGTTGAATGGACTGTTTACAAGAGGGGAAGATTCAGGGCTCAAGGTCAGGGTTACAGAATTATATAAGGTTTCCTGTTTGGGCAGCTGGTCTACCAACTCCTCAGGTCAGGGCAGATTGGGTCTTATTGAAAGAGCCTGCCTAGGAGATCTGGGTTAGGGATGGTGTCAGGAGTAGGGAAGAGAATTTTTCTTTTAAGCTTCTTATCAACCAGCTTTCTTGTCTGATGTCACTTCTCAGCAAATACTTTTCTATATTCTCTGGTAGGTAAATTATTTTTTCCTGACCGAACTGAGACAAGGAATTAGTATAGGATGTAAGAATGACAAGGTCAGGCATTGTCTGTTTTATTAATTAATGATGTGACTGTAATACTCAGAATACATGTGGCACATGGTAGTACTTTGATAAATACTTGTTAGATAAAGGGATGAGTAAGGATGGGAAGATGTTTAGTGGGAAAAAATCAAAACGGGTCCATAATCATGAAAGAGAAGCCACCGGGGTAGAAGTAAAATGAATACTCAGCAAAGTCATTCTCTGTGACCTTGGATGTTGCAATGTGATCTGTCACCAGTGCCCACTACTGCTTGTTATTGACCAGCCAAGTGCTGCTCAAGCGCAATTGTGATTGACCAACTTTTGGTAGGATGTTTGTCCATAAAAGCCCAAACCAATATCAGCTGAAATCAGCTGGTCCTATGGATCTATGCATTATCTACCTGATTTTCTCCATCTGCGCTTAGCTTTACCCATGGCTGTGTGCAGGGGAGAACCTGACAATGATGCTAACTGACTTTTTCCCCTGCAACTGCCTTTCCTTTCCTTAGTTCCTTTCTTATTCTTTGATTTCTTATTATTCTGTGCCCAGAGTGCTTGTGCAAGATGAGTATCTAAGAGTCAAGATACTTTCTTTACATCCTGGTCTCATTTTGTTGGGGGGAAAGGATGTCCTCTTTGTCCTGTAACAATTTCTTGAGAATGAGCATCCTTTCACGTTGGAACCTGGAGCCTAGGGTGTAAGGAAAGATCTGGAATGGAAACTTACTACAGAGCAGGGCTCTCCTGTTATGTCACTATGTGTCTGGTAAACAAAGTAGAATTCTAATGTGCCCAACCCCAAGGCTATACAGAATAATTGATTGTTTCTAGGTGAGCAGGGGATTGAGCACGTATTGCTAGTTTGTCTCTCTTAAGGAAGTTAGATGACGTGCAGAGTGAGTGGCCACCACACAGACCGGGGTTGGCCATATCTGACTGAGTCAGACTCAGTTCTAACTGAAACTTTAGGCTGGCTTTATCGGTGACCTCTGCTTACCACAGACTCCCTAGGCTTTGGAAAGAAAGCTGACCTCTGTCAGGGCAGCCTGATATTGTTGACGGGAGGGATTGACCCAGAGCAGAAATTTTTACACAAGACACACTCAAACCCCCAACCCTGGGAAAACAGGATGTGTGGGGAAGCAGCAAAGAAAGAAAATGCATTCACCATTCCTTCCTGTTGGTTTCAGCATGATGAGGAATAATTACCTGGATCTGGAGAGCTGGACATGTGGGTGGCCACAGGAGGCCGTGGTCTGTGTAGTTAGGCAGTTAATTACTCATCTCATCCCACTCCTCTCCTCTGGCCTCCCTGATGCCCCCCTTTTCAAAGGAATAACTATGTGGGTTAACCTGTGGAATACTATTTCTATCAGTCCATTTCTCCCTGCCCCTCACTTATTGTTAAATAAGCGAATCTGTGCTTTAAAATGACACCTCATTATTCAACTGTGTCTCTGACATGAGGACACAGATCCAGAGAAGGAACCGTCAAGGTGTCCCCAGAGCTCTTTCTGTGCACACCATGTGGCAAACACAAGTTCTTTCCCTGCTCTGAATTTTAAAATTAGTATTTCAACTGCTACTTCAATATTGCATTAAAATACCACTTTACAGTTGGGCTTTTGTCATTTGTCAAAATTGAATAAAAGTAACCTAGGAAACTGGTGAGGCGCTAAAATCTGTATCAGTTTACCTACCCCCACCATTGTTCTCATTCACTGAGTGTTTACTAAAGCCAGACATTTTACCTATAACCTCATTTCTACAAACACAAAGGGTGTTGGAAAGTTTCGGTTGCCCAGTTCTCCCTGGGTGGAATTTGATCTGAACCTGGGTTCTTCCCTCCTAAGCCTCCTACGATCTTTGAAAGAACTGCTGTCCTTAAAATTCTCCTTTGAGCTGTTGAAAGAACAATGTCTGCATCCAAAAGACTTATCAGAAACTCTTTTGGGCAAAAGTGTTTGGAATTCAGAATTGGGGGGATTGTAGAAAGCTAATATACATGACACACCCAGGGGGTCAAGGGTAGCACCTCTTAATCACCTACTCTAACTTGTCTGTGTGTGTGTGTGTGTGTGTGTGTGTGTGTGTGTTAGGGGGGAGAGGATAGAACAGTCACACTGCAAGTAGTTCTAAGGTCAGGTTTTGGCCAAAGGCTTTTGGAGTGGCAGAATGCTGACCCTCCGCCACCCACCCCCTTCCTTCAGATGTCTTGGAGCAGTAAGAGCTCCCTTGCCTACTTCCTCCTTCACAGACTTCTCAGGTCTCTAATGGAACTCTGCCCATCCCAGGCAAGGTGGAGGGTAGAGGGTAGGTGATGTTGAGCAGTAGTGGGCTTGGTATTGTGGGTGAGCAAATATACCTTAAAGGTATAGAGGACTCCATGTCACATTTGATAACATTGTCTTTTGTTAATCCTGCTAGAGTGCTAGTGTTATAGGACAGGGAGAGGGGCAGCCCAAACCCCGCAAACCTGCCTATTCTAAATGGGTTCTGCCATCCGCCGCATCAACAGAAAACATAGGAGACTTTAAGGGAAGGATCTTTAATAAAACTAGGAAACAATACAGGTAAGTCAAAGAGTCTAGTTTCTAAATGGAGCACCCAAAGTTACCCATCCCCTCGTGGGTAAAAGTCCATCCATATGGGATTGGCCCAGAGCAAGGCCCCAAAGCCTGCCACAAGTCTAAAGCATCTTCCAGTGGGGACCCACAGAAAAGGGTCAGAAACTACCAGACAAGGCCGGAAGGAAAAGAGCAAAATCAACATCAAAATAAAAGCTGCCATGGTCACCTCCCCATGGGTCTCACCCACATCTGTGTTACCCAGTCCACGACCAAAAGACAAGCGCAGTTTCTTCACGTGTCTCTAGGCTCCACGCGCCTCCTCCAGGTCTCCTGGCTCCATCCTGCCTCCTTCCTTCCTCGGTCTCTTCTGCAGCTTCTCCTCTTCCTGCTCAGCTCCACCCTTCCTTGGGTGGGGCAGGGAACCTCCCCCTTTCCTGGGGACCACCCTGTTACACTAGGTGCTGACTGGTTATCACTGTGTATTTCACACATTACTCAGAAACATCCTTTTTTGACTTTTGTTAGAATGGTAATAAGGGTGCTAATAAGGCCTTTAACTGAACTCTTACCACAATATGGAATGTCTACGAATTATAGAAAGGGGTATTTGGATGTGTACTTATAGGTAACAACGATATTTTCAAAGTTATGTGTTTTTTTTTTTTTTTTTAATATTTATTTATTTATTTATTTATACAAGCACTGGGTACAGTCAGAAGTGCGGGAAGGTGAGAGCAGGGAGCAGAGCAGGCAGAAGGACCCAAAGTACACTGCTGA